TGGTACGAGTTTACAATGGTATGAATTTACCGTGGTACGAGTTAGCAGTGGTACGAGTTTGCATTGGAACGAGTTTTCGTTTAGTGGTACGAGTTGACATTGGTACGAGTTACAATGGTACGAGATAACTATAATTCCTTTGTACTCGTAACCTGGCAAAATATTAACTAGATTTATTCATTACAATCTGGATAAAACTATGTTAGCCTGATTCAATGTACATCAAAATGTATGTTATGTAAATCCAAAGGACAAACAATGAGAGACGTATGCAACAAACATACATTGTTTGTACCTAAATAACTATAATATAGATGAGAGCATGTCATTGTTTTGTTCCTGTTAACATTGTCATTGATATTTTTCAAGAAAGTCTATGAGGCATAGCTTATGCATTCCTGTCATTACTACATAAGCATAATTACTGCTAAAATAATTCTCAGTATGATATACCTCTTGTAAGAAATCATTATAATTGTAGCAAGCACCAAAAAATCTCAAACAGATCACATTGAATCGTAATCCAAAAAATTATGACGTCTTGAATTAACCACCCCCTTTTATTCTAAAACGATAATTGCGGTTGTAAACTGACTTTGGTTTATTTGCATGGCGATTACATATATAACTATATATTTCACAAAGAAAATAGAGTTTTACCATGAATAGTTTCCTGCACGTAGTCTTTTTCAGTAAAACGTGCCTTGCAAACAACAGCTGATTGAGATGGACTCCACGATATCATCGTGTTCTCGTCCAATCTGCGTATGGGCAATGGCGTTGATCCAACTTTTCCTTCTTTTTAAGTCATTTGGAAATGCATGTCCTCCTCTTAAATGACATCCAGGTACACAACAACAAGTACTTGGCATCGTTAATTAAAAATATAACTGAAATAGTTGCACTGTGCAGAAACCGGAAGTTGAGGAACAGGATCCGCTACCACGGCGCCACCTATTCAGGAACGATAATTTGCTACTTTATATAACTGCGAAATAACAATAACGTTAGACGGGTTCACGTGCATAAACAGAAATGCGCTTTAAATTGTATAATATAATTCATGTTCAGTCGACCTTTAATTATTATATCAACGACTGAAATGATTTATAAACATCTAGATTGCAGATAGCACTCGAAATTAAGGTTCATGTGGACCCTTCGTCTAAAATGGCTGCATTTTCACCTCAAAATTTACTCTGAGTACAGACACACCTGTGCATCTGGAAAAGTTTTAAGGCATAGCATGCCCTAGATAAATAAAATTCAAATATATTTTCTGTTTTAGAAAATTAAAAACTTAACCGGATTTTGCAGTGCACTTTTTTTCATTCCTCCAGAAGGTGCCAAAATAAACTAAGTTGGGAAAGAGGTTTGAGAACTTCCCCACAGGTAATAATTGAAATGAACTGTTTTGATTGACATGGACAATAGATGGACAATAGATACCTGACAATAATTGGTGATTTAAACTGTGTATCTGAGTGGACCATATCAAGTGAAACTCAACTGTTTGTTAATTTTATCATCTTCTGCAGGGACGAAAAAAAGTGCACTGCTAAATCCAGTTAAGTTTTTAATTTTCTAAAACATACCATGCATTAGAAGTTTATTTATCTAGGGTATGCTATGCCTTAAAACTTTTCCAGATGCGCAGGTTTGTCTGTACTCAGAGTAAATTTTGAGGTGAAAATGCAGCCATTTTAGCCAAAGGGTCCACATGAACCTTAACCCGAGCTCTTTCACACGGAATTCAAATAATTCTAGTTTGTCAATCGGTTGACTGCTTATAATGCAAAATACTTATAAATCAAAAGTTTTTAAAACTAACAAAACACAATGATCGTTTCTCTATTTCCCAATGTAAATGAAATGAGACAAAAAACATTTTATACCACAATAAGAAGAGGAGAGAATCAACATTTTCCGGATCTACTTGGAGCTAAATCACCCCCCACGTAGATAAGTTGGATATCGCGGAAAGAAATATTAACACGGCAACTAGAAAGGCATTAAAGCACTGCCTTTAAAAAACCTTTTTGTCTTTAAAAACACAAAGTCGAATAGAGGTACGCAACGACGACTTCTGAACGAAATTAACGGCATATATTTTATAATATTTAATATGTAGTTTATTTTGTATATTTGGAAGCCGGTAAAGCTTTGATATGGACAAAATATCGTCACTTGATATTATCTAAACAGTGATTAATTTCATCTTTAAATTACAATATATTTCAAGACGCCGTACAGACAAAAGTTGTTATTTTGCAATTCGCCGTACAACGTTCTGCAATTCGCCGTACAATAAACAAACAATGTTTTGATCAATATTCTTTAAAAAACATCTTTATGACAGCAAATCTCAGTAAATATGATGTCACATTATCATAATCTAAAAATGTGTCTGGAAAAAAGAATGAAAAACTGTTGAATATCTTGCCAATGGGACGTCAGAGGACGATCGACCTCAAAATTTTCGGGTACTAAGTGGCAAGTTTAGGAGTATAACACAAAATCTTGTCATAATTTTGTACTTATCGGCCTAATAATTCAAAGAATTATATATCAGAAAATCATTTCTTAAGCGGTACCCTAGTCAAATCAGTAGAAATGCTTTTAATTGAATGAATTCTTACCTTGTTTACTTTTTTTTTCATTTCTCTCCGCTTCGTTAGTACCCAATTTCCGGTGGCGATGATACACAGTGAGGAAGCATATGGGTACAATCAATCTGTGAAGTTTCAAGGATCTCACCGGAAATCAATACAGAAAACTATCAGAGTTGATTTTAAACAAAATATCCTATTTGGTACTGTCTTTTTTAAATTTTGATGAAGTATGACTAAGTTCCCAACATTTGTGTAGTCCTGCTGGGTTAAAAACTATAGCAGTTGATTTCACAATGAGCTTACCATCTTTTGAAAATTTTGCTGAAAACTTTTATGTATACATGTAGTATTGAAAATTTGGAAAACATTAAATATTTTCAAAATAACAAATTACAATTCTACAATTTAGCAGGTATTTCAAACAAAGGGGAGCAACTCTAATTTATAATTCAACAACTACTAGGTACAATATAAAAATAAGATGCAGTATGATTGCCAATGAGACAACTCTCCAACAGAAACCAAATGACATAGATTTTAACAGCTATAGGTCATTGTACCGCCTTCAACTATGAGCAAAACCCATACCCCATAGTGTAATCTATGATTTACTGTTACATTTCACTATTCAAAATGAGATTTTACATACAAATAAAGTTCAAATCTAAATGTATTATATATTGACATTGCACTTAAAAAAAATAAAAAAAAATAATTAGTTTTAATTAATCTTTTTCAAGTAGAACCAATTAAACAATGCGATTAATTGTTTAACTTTGATAGTCAGGGGTCTACTTTAATTTATAGTGAAAAGTATAAAACATTTTACTTGAAGTAAACTTAAGGCTACCTGGGTTTATCTCCCTTGCCAAATTTTCATAAATTTACTCATACAAAGTAACAAGTCAAAATATAGACCTTTGAACTTCTGCTGTGATTCAAATGGGAAAGATTTTCATTTGAACCCTCCTTATCTGTATTTTGATTATTACGTCAACTAGGGGGTTCAAATTGAAGTTTTTCTGACAGGTGTTGCACCTCTTTAAAAGATCAGTCCCTTAGGAGAGAAAACATTAATTCATTAATGCAAAGTCATATGGATGTAAAGATTTCATATAGTTGTTAGTTATCAAATTGAAATTCTTTGCACTTTATTGTTTCAATAACTAGTGATATATAAGTTAAAGATAAAATGTAACACCCCATTGAATGAAAATTAAAATTTTAGATTCTACAAGGAAATAAAACTTTTGTTTAAGCAGGAAGTTAATCATTGACTTGTAAAAGTAACTAAAAAATTGAAAACATTAAAATTTATAGAAGTGGACCCCAGACTGTTTGAACTGCATTAGTTTATACTTTAACAATTTGTTGATTATCTAGACAAAACTGGAAAATTTCCTTTAATTTTTGGCTTTTATTCTTCATTTTCATGTTCACTAACATTTATACATCACAATTATTATTCTCATTTTTCTATTACCTCTGTAAAAAATGTGTTTTGCATTTTTCATTTTCAAAGAAAATTATTGAGGACTTGTGAAACATATTGATAATTAACAAAATATATATATTCAGGTTTAAAAGTGAAAAATTGAGGTTATTGTTTTTTTTTAATCCATTTCTAAATAGTGTGTTATTATTATCATAACTTTTAATAATTTTGAGAGAAAAGATTTCATGAACCTGGGTAATTGTCTCAATCATAGAGTACAATATTTAAAGTATAAAAATATGAATTCTAAATTAGAATGATAGTGAAAAAATTTAAAGGAGAAAAAAATTAAATAAAATTCATGAACAAGTTTTTGACGACTCCAAATCTTTGACCTAATTGAATATGTACATGTAATTATTTATCATGAAACTTTACATTTACATACTGGTATATATATAATTATCATGACAATAAAACTACATGCATGTAATCATTATTACACATACACAATATTGAATTACCTAACATTTGATACAGGCAATCTTTTATTTCAAAGAGTGATTAAAATTTCTTAACTATTTTACACATAAAAAATTAGGCCATCGAATCTGGGCAAATTATGTTAAATTTCATGAATGTAAATGCCCTTTTTCAATTTAATAAAAACAGTAATTAGCTTTCCTGGCACTTTAAAAATTCCCTTTGTTAATTTGGATTTTTTTCTCCAAAATGAAAATGGCCTTTTAATAAATCTAAGGTGTAAATTTATGAATATTTTTTTTGGAACAAAGCCCATTGTTAATAGCTGTTAAGGGGGATTAGTACTTAATAAGATTTACTACAAACAGGTACTAATACACAAAGTCCTATTAAGTTTTATCGTAAGTAGGACTTACTCAAGACCAATTGGTACGCTTTATTTTGATGATTGGCTACAAAAATCAACTTACTATATATGCAACGAATCATGTCTCTAATCCTTGCTAGTGTTAGGACGCCATTGGTTCCGTTAGCAATTCTAGATCATCTATAATTTCTACCATATTTTTCATTGAAAAATGGGTTTATATTTCGCTTATGTTAAAAAAAATTATGCATACACCTTCTTGCCAATTAATATACTGCCTTTATTTCAATTGGGATAATTTCAGGTTTATTTGTCAATCAAAATTGTCAAATGAAATTGGTTTACGGTGGGAGTTTCACTACTTGATCAGAACAGCTTCACTGGTGTGTGATTGGTCTTTGTAGCCTATCAGGTAATGCTGAGTCACGTGACGTGTGTCAATTTCGCCGAGTTATCAACAACAGAAATGGCTACAGGTGAACCGAGAGCGGTGGGCAGGGCTTTAAATAGCCAACGACTGTTTTCCTGGGTGAGAATGGTTTTCATTCATCAATCCACTATGCAATTTGTGCATGAATTTTAGATTTGAGTTGTCGAGTGCAAAACGTGAAATGACATTGTACATTTGAAGAGAAAAATAAAAACGAGCACCTGCTCATGAATATAAAAGTGTAAACATTTGCACACAATGTGTATTTCAATGGAATTCCCCGTTACGTCAGAAATCGTAAACATTGACAGCAAACCACGTGGTGTTTAGGTGAAGAAAATTTCATTTCTAATCTGGGACTATTTGATAATCAATGTATTAGTCCCAGTTCTAATCTATTTTCTTATCATTTATACAATAAATCCTAATTGACCTATTACTTAAAATGAATCAGATGTAATGCTTAACAAAAAAGGGGGGATACAAAATGATCGTGGAAGTCACATGAATTTCTATCAAAAAGTGATTAATTAAAGAAAGATAATAATATCGTTAAAGAAAGATAATAATATCGTCTATAGTATAGTATGGGCACAGTCGCTTGAATTTCTATCCATAAATGATTTTAAAAAAAATTTCGTTTTTATTACCTTTTTAATCATTTATGGATAGAAATTCAAGTGACTGTGGTGGAATCTACAAATTGTTTTATTGGATTAATTGCTCAAAATAGACTTTAATTTTCTTTATTTGTCAATGATTTTTTTTCTCTGATCATGCTGATGCTTCCGAATTACACAAGTACGTGTTTAGAGACAGGACAATTCCCTCTCCTTTTTTTTTAAATCCATTTTTTTTTTTGCATGTCTCACCAATGAATTGATTCTGTTTTCAGAAATTTTAGCTAGTCCCAGCCAAAATGGTGAGTGCAAGGCTACATGTATGTGCTTTAGAGAACCATGTCTGAATTCTGGTGTCTGGAAAGACCAAAATCACTAAACATGCTAAGGTAGCACTCCACAGTTAGAAAAAAACATTAAAATTGAACCACAAAATGTTTTATCATCTTCTATTCCTGGCTTTCTAATACATTAACCTAACTGTTTGTGTTATACATGTGCATATGTATGTTATCAGTATCTTCCATAGATTTGATTTTTAAAAGTTAAAATGCTGAAAAATAATTCCTTTTTTGTGTATCCATGGCAACATTCTGCATTTATTTACCATAAAATATTGCAAAAAGGGGGGCAAAAATGTCACATATTCCCCCAAAATTTGGTTCAAACTAGAATTTCAATGCCTTTCAGTGATACCTTTTCAGAAACTGTTGATATAAATCTACCAAATGATCAAATAAAAAATGGGTGTCTTTCGCCTCATTTTTTCATAAAATTTAATTGCAAAGTTCGTGCGACAAAAAGTCGGAAAAAAACATTACAATAATTGCCGGACCAATATTTGGTATGGATATGAAAATACGGACTGTCATACAGAAAACAGCCCATATTACATACATTACATAATCTTGATGTTCCTATAAACCCACTATGAAGGCTATTTTAATCTTCAGCTATCCAAAAATGAATTTTATTCTACACTAGCTATCATATTTGAAAAATCCACAGGGGCCAAAATGCGAAACTACACACCTAACTGTGGAGTGCTACCTTAATATCAAATTTTTTTTCCCTGCCTCAAATTCAAATTCATTTCCTGTGTTCTACTAGCTGTAACGATTAAAATGGTACCATAGTTTTTAAAATTGGTTCAGTAATAAAGATTTTATGAAGGTTAGCATTTGATGTTAAACGGGACAAAAAGTCATTTAAAAAAAAATGCCTGATCAAAGTGTAAAACCTCAAGCCTGTCACATTTTTGGGGTAAATTTCTAAAACTTTTCCCTTTTTTCTGTTTAAAATCATAAAATAACCTTTAAAGAAGAAAAATTGTACAATTTTTAGGTATTTGAAAGCATTTATAGGTCAATTTTGCTGTAAATAGCATGCCAAACCTTGTTTTAGAAACTCTCAAGCAGGGTATAAATATCTAACAGTACTGGCATCATTAAATTTCATTCATGCCAAATTATTATATAAAATCCTGCTAAAAATGTTTATTTGACTTATTTGCATTAAAAAATATAAAGCGATATATTCTGAGGCTATCATATAAAGCGCAATCTTTGGTTACAAGGGCGAAGCTAATGGAGTACAAATTTAAGACAGAAACATGTCTTAGTGTCAAAATGTGTATATTTGGTTGCTAAGGACAGTAAACAATAAAATTAAGATGTATTGCAATCCTAGCAACTTTTTTCCCTTCAGAACTACATTAAGAACCTAACAGACTAAAGATTTGTGGTTAAATTTATCTTAAAAAGTGCATTTCTGTGCTTTCTGATGTGCCATAAGGTAGCACTCCACAGTTAGAAAAAAACATTAAAATTGAACCACAAAATGTTTTATCATCTTCTATTCCTGGCTTTCTAATACATTAACCTAACTGTTTGTGTTATACATGTGCATATGTATGTTATCAGTATCTTCCATAGATTTGATTTTTAAAAGTTAAAATGCTGAAAAATAATTCCTTTTTTGTGTATCCATGGCAACATTCTGCATTTATTTACCATAAAATATTGCAAAAAGGGGGGCAAAAATGTCACATATTCCCCCAAAATTTGGTTCAAACTAGAATTTCAATGCCTTTCAGTGATACCTTTTCAGAAACTGTTGATATAAATCTACCAAATGATCAAATAAAAAATGGGTGTCTTTCGCCTCATTTTTTCATAAAATTTAATTGCAAAGTTCGTGCGACAAAAAGTCGGAAAAAAACATTACAATAATTGCCGGACCAATATTTGGTATGGATATGAAAATACGGACTGTCATACAGAAAACAGCCCATATTACATACATTACATAATCTTGATGTTCCTATAAACCCACTATGAAGGCTATTTTAATCTTCAGCTATCCAAAAATGAATTTTATTCTACACTAGCTATCATATTTGAAAAATCCACAGGGGCCAAAATGCGAAACTACACACCTAACTGTGGAGTGCTACCTAAAGATAAAAGTAATTTTACAAACCCACTGTCAAACAAACTTGGACAGACACAAATAGTTGAATGGTATGTTCTTAAAATTTATGTTATATGTAACCAAACATGTATTTATTTACACAGGGAGCCAACAGCTATGGACAGCTTGGATTAGGTCATTGTACAGACAAATCGATACCAGAGGAAATAAATCTTCCTGAAGATTTTGGTAATGTTTCATCTGTGAGTGGGGGAGGTGGACATACCCTTGTTCTGACAGGTAACTCAAAGTAAATATAAACCATATGTCCCCCCCCCTTTAATTGATAAATTACTGTTTCTATTGAAAAATTGAAAAAAAAAATCACTTTTGATTTGTCTCCAGATAGAAACCATGCCCCCCACAAAAGATGACTAATACATGTATCAGGATTTAGTAATTTCCATCTATCCATTAATTAAAACTGCCATGGATGGTCCCCCTTGTCGACTTTTGGAGTACATATGATATTTCTTTTCTAATACTACAGAAATGGACAAACAAAACTAAGGATAATTAGTTTATTTTTGTTTCGCCTGATCCTGCAACGTCTGTCACAGAAAGCAAGACACAGGGATAATGATTCGGCAGTAGCAGCATTAACTAATAACATAAAAGCTTAATATTTCAGAAGGTAGAAGACCTGAATGCTTCATACTTTGTATTTAGATGCCTTATGTTATGAAATATTTTTTGTAATGTTAATTTCTCTTTTATCAAGAGCAATAGGATAAATATGTTTGGTATGTGTGTACCTTGCAAGGTCCTTATGCCTGTCAGACAATTTTCACTTGACTGTTACCTCATTTCATGGGTCAGTGATCAAGGTTAAGTTTTCGTGGTCAAGTCAGTATCTCAGATACTATAAGCAATAGGTCAACTATATTTGGTGTATGGAATGATTGTAAGGTGTACATGTCGACTAGCAGGTTTCATCTGATCTTGACCTCAATTTCTTGGTGTATTGGACAATGTTAAGTTTTTGTGGTTTGAGATACTATGAGGAATAAGGCCATTATATTTTGTGTATGGAAATAATTGTAAGGTGTACATGGTTCATTGGACAATTTTAAGCTTTTGTAACTTAAATTTGTCTATTTCTCAGATATTATTAGCAATAGGTTGTTATATAAATAATTTGGTGTATGGAACGATTGTAAGATTAACATGTCTGTCTGGCAGGGTTAATATGACCTCGACCTCATTTTCATGGTCCATTGGTCAACGTTAAGATTAATTGGTTTGATCTGGTGTATGGAATGATTGTAAGGCATGTAAGGTGTACATGACTACATGTCTGTCTGGCATGGTTCACCTGACCGTGACCTCATTTTCATAGAACATCGATAATGTTAAGTTCATGTGATACTTTTAGCAAAACCTACATACAATTGTTTTACAGACTTTCAATATGAATTTCAGCATGTGCACTCTTGTCCATTTAATATTTTATCAAAATCTGAGATTGATTTGAGTAGGTGGAGTTTCCACAGTAGGCAGTTGGAAATGATAAAATCCATTTCAGCTATAGTGTATATGATAGGGTCGTTAATTAGTTATAAGTGGCAAAACTAAGAAATTAAGTATCCACAAAAATTTACGTTTTCCTCAATTCACGAAAATTAGTACCCAGGAATATAAATGAATCCACAGTACCTGAAAACTGGGGATCACATGGGTAACCTGAATATAGAAATAAGAAGATGTGGTATGATTGCCAATGCCAGTCTAACTGGGGATCACATGGGTAACCTGAATATAGAAATAAGAAGATGTGGTATGATTGCCAATGCCAGTCTAACTGGGGATCACATGGGTAACCTGAATATAGAAATAAGAAGATGTGGTATGATTGCCAATGCCCGTCTAACTGGGGATCACATGGGTAACCTGAATATAGAAATAAGAAGATGTGTTGTGATTGCCAATGCCAGTCTAACTGGGGATCACATTGGTAACCTGAATATAGAAATAAGAAGATGTGGTATGATTGCCAATGCCCGTCTAACTGGGGATCACATGGGTAACCTGAATATAGAAATAAGAAGATGTGGTATGATTGCCAATGCCCGTCTAACTGGGATCACATGGGTAACCTGAATATAGAAATAAGAAGATGTGGTATGATTGCCAATGCCAGTCTAACTGGAATCACATTGGTAACCTGAATATAGAAATAAGAAGATGTGGTATGATTGCCAATGCCCGTCTAACTGGGGATCACATGGGTAACCTGAATATAGAAATAAGAAGATGTGGTATGATTGCCAATGCCAGTCTAACTGGGGATCACATGGGTAACCTGAATATAGAAATAAGAAGATGTGGTATGATTGCCAATGAGACAACTCTCCACAAGGGACCAAATGACACAGAAATTAACAACTATAGGTCTTGGTACAACCTTCAACAATGAGTAAAGCCCATAGCCCCATACCGCATAGTCAACTATAAAAGGCCCCAAAATGACAAATGTAAAACAATTCAAAGGAGAAAACTAATGACCTAATTTATGTACAAAATATTGTACTAAAAACAAATATGTTACACAGTAACAAACGACAACCACTGAAATACAGACTCCTGACTCGAAGCATGATATTCTTTTCATATAAATTTATATATTTTTTAACTTTTACATAAATTATTTCAGATAATGGAAATTTGTTTGTGTGTGGTTCAAATGACAAAGGTCAACTGGGATTCGGATCAACAGAAGACAAAACAGAGCTGACACCTGTCAGATCAATGGAAAGGGAGATAATTACGAAAGTAGTTGGTGGCTGGGACTTTACTTTAATGTTAAATGGTAAATGGCAAAGCTTTTTAGTTAAAAATACTTGTAACAACTGTGCTTGTATAACTCTGTGTGAACATATTGATGATACGATAGAGCTGTTACAATCTATAACTCTGCATGAACATATTGATGATATGATAGAGCAGTAGAAATATATTTAAAATTGAGAATGGAAATGGGGAATGTGTCAAAGAGACAACAACCCGACCATAGAACAGACAACAGCAGAAGGTCACCAACAGGTCTTCAATGCAGCGAGAATTTCCCGCACCCGGAGGCGTCCTTCAGCTGGCCCCTAAACAAATATATATACTAGTTCAGTGATAATGAACGCCATACTAAACTCCAAATTGTACACAAGAAACTAAAATTAAAAATAATACAAGACTAACAAAGGCTAGAGGCTCCTGACTTGGGACAGGCGCAAAAATGCTTGTAGGTAGGAATTCTTTTTATTTTGCTCAAATTATTTTACATTGAGTTTTATGGAAAGATCATTCTGTCATGTTTAACAACTAAATTGCCAATGATTTTAGTACAAATGTAGTATGGGAATTTTAAGGCATACAAAATATGGTAGGTACAGGAACCCTTAACACATATTTTTTTTTTCTTTTGGCGTGATGACAAAATCCATATAAGTTGTAGTGTCTATAGAAATATTTTCTTTCAGATAAAGGAACGATTTACGTTACTGGATCGAATAAATTTAACCAGTTGGGATTACCAGATATCACAGAGAAGTATATCACTACTCCAGTAAGTCAACATCCCAATGGACATGTATGTTACTATAGTTACTGTCTGTCTTGTAATAGTATATACACACGGTAATCTGTCCATTTTGACCAAACCCTGAAAGAAATACATTAATATTACATAAAAAAGAAAACTGTTTGGAGATATGCATTCCATATGTTGTATTGTTAATATGCTAGAAATTATTGCTCCAAATAGAAATGAAAAGTTCATGATTGGGAAACTTAAAAGTGCACACTGTAGTTTCAATCCTTACAGACTGATTCAAAAAAGTTTGGCTTTATATCAGAATGAGAAGAAAGTCGAATTAAAATTTTATTTCATTGATAAACAGGTAAGAAAGTAATCTAATTGTAAAGAAAACTAACTCCTCTCAGAATCAGGGGTTAAAAAATCTCCTCTCAGAATCAGGGGTTAAAAAATCTCCTCTCAGAGTCAGGGGTTAAAAAATCCAATAGTAGGACGTCCAGTACAAGAACATTTAGTAAACTCCTCTCAGAATCAGGGGTTAAAAATCCAATAGTAGGACGCCCAGGACAAGAACATTTAGTAAACTCCTCTCAGAATCAGGGGTTAAAATATCCAATAGTAGGACGTCCAGTACAAGAACATTTAGTAAACTCCTCTCAGAATCAGGGGTTAAAAAATCCAAAAGTAGGACGTCCAGTACAAGAACATTTAGTAAACTCCTCTCAGAATCAGGGGTAAAAAAATCCAATAGTAGGATGTCCAGTACAAGAACATTTAGTAAACTCCTCTCAGAATCAGGGGTTAAAAAATCCAATAGTAGGACGTCCAGTACAAGAACATTTAGTAAACTCCTCTCAGAATCAGGGGTTAAAAAATCCAATAGTAGGACGTCCAGTACAAGGACATTTAGTAAACTCCTCTCAGAATCAGGGGTTAAAAAATCCAATAGTAGGACGTCCAGTACAAGGACATTTAGTAAACTCCTCTCAGAATCAGGGGTTAAAAAATCCAATAGTAGGACGTCCAGTACAAGAACATTTAGGACTCTGGCAATAAAAACTTGTAATCCAATATGCCCGACGGACTAGAAATTTTTTTTTGTTATTACCAAAATAGAAAGTGGAAAATCCCATCCACAAGGATTCCAGGAATTTCAACTGATTTTGTACACGTTTTGAAAATAACTGGGTGGACCAGTATATATATAATACAGTATTATGTATTGATTGCAATCTCGTACTTTCAATATCAATTTCTCAGTATTGGGGGTATTGTGCATTGCTCATACAGAGACTTTCAATTAACAGTACTGGGGGTATTGTGCATTGCTCTTGCCGCGACTTTCAATTAACAGTACTTTGGGTATTGTTCATTGCTCATGCAGAGACTTTCAATTAACAGTTCTGGGGGTATTGTGCATTGCTCATGCAGAGACTTTCAATTAACAGTACTGGGGCTTAAATTAAAATATTGTTTGTTTGCAGTTTACCGACCGACCTTCGAAAATCCGCCCGACTGAGAACATTTTATTGGTTTTAATTTGAAGAAATTATTTTTAATATTTCTATTGACTCGATCCAGAATTTCAGGTCATTTCCGGAATTGATTTCAAGTGTAGGTGAATTACATGTTTGAAGTATGGTTTTTCTTCCCTTCCTGTCAAGCTTTCATCGCACCCTTTAATGGTGAAGCACATGGAGATTGTTTACAGGTATTCACGAAGTCATGGAGGAGTACTTTATTCTGTCGTCTTCTGTCAATTTTAAGACAAATAATACACAGAAAAGTTTCATAGTAAACTGTTTATACTGATTCAGGCAGAATTGCACACAGAATAATGTCTTCGATGATATCATTGACGATGATGCAGCAGATATTCATAAAACCGACACGATAACCGTTTCTGTCTCAAACAAATCGGATACAGAATCTTTTGAGACTGACTTAATGGAACCAATATCAGTGGTTCAACAATCAACAGCAGCCTAAAGTATGCCATATTTTCTTTAAATTGTCGTGCCAAGACGACAAAGATGAAACCACTCATTCGTGACTTCATGGATACCTGTAAACATGCCTGTACGGTGGAAGGACGCATTTGAAATGTTAAATCAATAAGAAGGCACCCAAACTACACAAAGATGTAGAGAAAATGAATGGTTGGCTTAAGAAATAAATATATTCTCTCTGTATCAAATCTATCTTCGATTGCAATGAGTATGCTCCTTTAGGATAAGGGGGGCTATCCAACTCATTGCAATTATTCTCTCTCTTACAATAATAAATATACCCAAACTGTGTGGCATGTGTGAATTGAATTGAAACGAAACATGTCCTTAGCTAGGAGCTATGCTGCCAATTTTTTTATGCAGTCAAAACCTATCAGTACAGACCATTTACTTTTAATGCGGTGCTATGGATTTCACCCCAAAACAAGTCTTAAGATTTTTGTTTGTTTTAATTAAAGCCTGGCATCAACATATCCTTCCAAATATAACCTTTATAACAGTCAGATGTCTAATATATTTTTTTTAAGTTCTCTTTTTTTTTCAATTGAGGAAGATTCAATGGTTGATTTTTTTTAAAACACTCCTAAATTGTCTTTTGAATCTTTAACATCTACATTTTTCTGATGCAAATACTCTACTCATGAAAACATTCTAGTAAAGATGCATAAATATCAGTGAATATGTTTCTTTACAACAATTCTAGTCATTTCTTGTTTATAAGTGTTCCAGTATTTCATAATACCATAATTTTATGTCATAAATTGTATAATGACACTATGTCAAGTTTCAGTTTTGGTTAAAAAGGTGTTTACCTGAAAATGCCTGTTCATTTCATGTTGGTTTTCAGTGTTTGTTGTTTTAAAATGTTTTTTCTTCACAAGAAACTTGGTTTGTGTTAAACTGTTTGATTAAACTTTATTCTGGCTGATAAAATAAAATATTTTTCCTACCTACCGACCCTGCAGTCTGAAGGTACAGTCGGAAAACTGCAAACAAACATATTTTTAAGGTTGGCCTGGGGGTATTGTGCATTGCTCATGCAGAGACTTTCAATTAACAGTACTGGGGGTATTGTGCATTGCTCATGCAGAGACTTTCAATTAACAGTTCTGGGGGTATTGTGCATTGCTCATGCAGAGACTTTCAATTAACAGTTCTGGGGGTATTGTGCATTGCTCATGCAGAGACTTTCAATCAACACTACTGGGGGTATGATGCATTGATTAATATGACCTGTCATGACAGATAGCATGAAACCATACAACAAAGTATTGCTAAGTATTGTAGTACAGGCACCCCAATAACATCGTCAGTTTTGAAACGAAGAACTGCAGATGAAGGGGGAAATGTCATCAAAAAGTGAAAATGCCAAATGCAACCTAGCAGGTCTGTTTTGCTGGGCTGGCAGGGCAGTTCTTTCAACAGGACTAGTAATAGTAAAATACTGCTAGCACTACACAGCTACTTTAGTACAAGTAATCTTGATGTACAGTTCTAAAGATGCATATAAAATGTACATCTGTAAAGCTGTATTTAAACTGTACATCTGAAAAGCTGTATATCAACTGTACAGCTGTAAAGCTGTATATAAACTGTACATCTGTAAAGCTGTATATAAACTGTACATCTTTTAAGCTGTATATAAACTGTACATCTGTAAAACTGTATATAAACTGTGGATAGATATCGTATCACACAAGATCCAGTGGTAGAATCTATATGTTTAGCTTATACACAGATTTAAACATGTGCAGTTAATGTACATTTTTACAGAGTTACAGTTTATATACAGCTTTAAAAATGTACAGTTGATATACAGTTTTACAGATGTACAGTTTATATACAGCTTAACAAATGTACAGTTTATATACAGCTTTACAGATGTACAGTTTATATACAGCTTTACAGATGTACAGTTTATATACAGCTTTACAGATGTACAGTTTATATACAGCTTAACAAATGTACAGTTTATATACAGCTTTACAGATGTACAGTTTATATATAGCTTTACAGATGTACAGTTTATATATAGGTTTACAGATGTACAGTTTATATATAGCTTAACAAATGTACAGTTTATATACAGCTTTACAGATGTACAGTTTATATACAGCTTTACAGATGTACAGTTTATATACAGCTTTACAGATGTACAGTTTATATATAGCTTTACAGATGTACAGTTTATATATAGCTTAACAGATGTACAGTTTATATACAGCTTTACAGATGTACAGTTTATATATAGCTTTACAGATGAACAGTTTATATACAGCTTTACAGATGTACAGTTTATATACAGCTTTACAGATGTACATTTGATATACATCCTTAGAACTGTACATCAAGATTACTTGTACTAAAGTAGCTGTGTAAGTCCTGGGCTAGTGAGCTGTAACAAAAAAATTAAACCCCTGTAGGATAGGTAAAGTTACATGATTAAAAATCTGTACCAGCTTAAGTGCATCAAAACATGCTACATGTACATGTATATGCAGGGATACAGTTTTAATCAAGACTTGTTTCAGTTGCAGAAAGATTGGAATTTGGAAGAAAAGTGGAAAATGGAACAATTGACAGTTGCTTGTAAATACCAGTCATTTGGACTCTGGGTGGATAGTTGTCCTATTGGCAAGCCTACCACATCATCTTATGTTTTTATTGACAGTAGGTCACAAAGTTGATATAATTAAAAAAAAATGTACATGCATAATAAATGTTTATTTATAGGTTAGATTGTCTTTACCCAGGAATCCAATAGTCATGGACATAGAAGCTGGATTACGTCATGGTATCGCTCTAACAGGTACATAATTGAATTTGGAAGCCATTAGATTGAGAGCAATTATTTTTCCCTTTAAAATTGCAAAAATAAGTTAAAAAATAATTGTATTTAGGGAATTATAACATTTTGCATATATTCTTTTAAATTGTCCAAAAAGTCCAAAAACAAAAATGTGAAACAAAATTTAAATATAGAGCAGTCTTCTGAAGAAATAAAAGCAAAAAAATACAATAGACCAATCAAAATACATAAACTAAAAAGGCAAACAACTGTTAACTGAGACCAAAAGACAACAGTTTACAGAGCATAACACAGCAATAAACCATTCAGCTGTTAACCAAGACCAAAAGACAACAGTTTACAGAACATAAAACAGCAATAAACCATTCAGCTGTTAACTAAGACCAAAAGACAACAGTTTACAGAGCATAACACAGCAATAAACCATTCAGCTGTTAACTAAGACCAAAAGACAACAGTTTACAGAGCATAACACAGCAATAAACCATTCAGCTGTTAACTAAGACCAAAAGACAACAGTTTACAGAGCATAACACAGCAATAAACCATTCAGCTGTTAACCAAGACCACAAGACAACAGTTTACAGAGCATAACACAGCAATAAACCATTCAGCTGTTAACCAAGACCACAAGACAACAGTTTACGGAGCATAACACAGCAATAAACCATTCAGCTGTTAACCAAGACCACAAGACAACAGTTTACAGAGCATAACACAGCAATAAACCATTCAGAGCTGTTAACCAAGACCACAAGACAACAGTTTACAGAGCATAACACAGCAATAAACCATTCAGCTGTTAACCAAGACCACAAGACAACAGTTTACGGAGCATAACACAGCAATAAACCATTCAGCTGTTAACGAAGACCACAAGACAACAGTTTACGGAGCATAACACAGCAATAAACCATTCAGCTGTTAACTAAGACCACAAGACAACAGTTTACAGAGCATAACACAGCAATAAACCATTCAGCTGTTAACCAAGACCAAAAGACAACAGTATACAGAGCATAACACAGCAATAAACCATTCAGCTGTTAACTAAGACCTAAAGACAACAGTTTACAGAACACAACACAGCAATAAACCATTCAGCTGTTAACCAAGACCAAAAGACAACAGTTTACGGAACACAACACAGCAATAAACCATTCAGCTGTTAACTAAGACCTAAAGACAACAGTTTACAGAGCATAACACAGCAACAAACCATATATATATTCTGTCATTTGTTTTTGTATAATTTTTTATTCGGAATCAGAGCTAGAAACAAAGAATGCTCTCATTAGTTTTGGAATATTTTAAGTAATGAATTTGTGATATTCTAACTGTGTATTTTTTATGCCCCCGCCGCAGCAGAGGGTTGTAGTGTAAAATTCCAAGAGCAAAAAAAGGCAAAAATTACCAAAAAAAAAACTAAATTTTTGCCAAAATTTCAAAAAATAAAAATCTTCCAAAATTAAAAAACAAATATCAATTTTGACAGAATTCCAGTCCAATCCCAACCAACCCCCCACCCCGAAAAAAATTAAAGTTATATTTAACAATACATCTGAGTTCAAAGGTGAAGTGGAAATTCTTCATTAGAAATTTTCAACTTTACGCCCGGGTAAAAAAGTTCTTGGTGTTCTTCAGAATTTGACAATGCATTTCCAACACTGGTGTAAAATTCCTTACACCTCTGATTACACCAAGAGAGCTAATAATATCATCTATATCCTTATACGTTATGTTTCACGCTATAAAATGCTTTACACATTCCTGTTTCTGTTTATATAGTTCTACTAATTTACACATAGCCCCTCTTTTTTTTTTTACAAAGTACAATATTAAGATCTCTCAATTCTCAGCTACTAAACAGAGCCAATAAAGTAGCAAATCATTCAACATTAATGTTTTATACAGTATTCAAAATGTAAATTGAAAAATATATAATAATAAATGCCTGCAATCTTTGTACACATTGAGATACCCCTTCTCAAAAAGATTTCCTGTCATCGGTGTAAACGTCGGTATTTTGAAAATGTCTTATAGTAGACAGTACCTTCTCCACTAGCTGCACCTGTCTGGTTTAACATGGTTACTAAAACTTGTAAACAAGGAAAAAAGGGATGAAAATTTGAATGGTTTACTTCTGGTGATGGTTATTATGTTACATGCAATGAAATGCTGTGTGAAATTTTTACTGTAGTATTGGAAAGGATAAAACTTTACTCATGCTAAATATTTCTTTATTTGAAACAAAGATAAATTCTGCACAATTTTTTGATGAATGCCAATTTAACAAAGACTGATATGGGAAAAGCAATGATGGTATTTTTCCTACAATAATGAAAAAGCTTACATTTGAACTTTGGTTGATAGTTTTCTGATCATTGGAATTGGCAATGGAATCACATTGCCTTATTTTTATAAAGGAAGATAACTCCAACTCAAATTCATAATTAACCGCCTCCGTGGTCTGGTGTTTGCCTAAAGTGGGGGAGGTCGTGGGGTCGAACCCTGACTGGGTCAAACCAAAGTTTTAAAATTGGTATTTGCTGCTTCCCCACTAAGCACACGGCATTAAGGAATAAGAGCAATGACCTTGTGAACTAGCATGTTAAAAATCTGGCCAAGCGTGTCGGTCTAGTAGCAGGGTTATTATTCATATTACATTAACATGTTCTCAAACTGAATATGCATATTAATTTGCCGCTGGACGTTAAGCAGCCATCATCATCATCATCATCATCATCATCATCATCATCATCATCATCATCATCAAATTCATAATTTGCCTAGCTAATTATTTGCATTTTAAATCCACTAAATTGCAAAATGAAAGCAATCTTTACAGTACTCACAAGCGCTTTCATTTATGAATAGTTATGTTTGAATTTTACATTGAAATGTGTCAAATTATTTGCAGATACTGGACAGGTATATATCTGGGGAAGTAGAAAGTCAAGTAAAGATAAAACTGCTGCAGTACCTACCATAGGTAAGGAAAGGTAAAATATACATATTCTAATCAGATTACATCTCAGTACTTTTTGATATGGTTAAACAAAGGAGTAGGTCCGGTAAGGGCCGATTTTGGCCTCAAAATTCAAGTTCATCTGATGAAAGATTTTGGACACTTTTTAAACACTTAAGTGTCTACTTCAGTCGATTCAATTAGTTTATGTGAGAGATTTGAACTGATTTCGTCATTAAAGACGATCAAGTTCAAGCTTAAATATGAATAATCTATCAAATATGCCATAATATGTCACTTTTCAGATGGTTTTTGTCAAAAATAAAAGTGGCCGCATCCGTGTTCATTCTCAACCTTTATATATGTTATGTATTATCATCAAATACAACTTACATTTAAATATTAAGAATGAACACAAATGCGGCCACTTCCATTTCAGACGGAAACCGTCTAAAAATTAACCAAAATGCCAAAATTTTAAAGATTTCAGTAATTTAGCATGACTAAATGATGCTAGTACCCCATACATGTGCATTGTATTGTCAAAACAGCCCATATTTATGTAACAGAAGTATTCTTCTTTCCAATGAATAGCTAAAAATTTACATTTTAACAATTTTGTAAAACTGCTATATTTTGGGGCCAAAAAGGGGTCTTACTGGGCCTACTCCTTTATGTAAAAAGAATTGATTGTTGACTTGGTATTATTCAATATTTCAAAAGTTCAACAAATACAACTTTCAATTTGTTTGTATGAAATCAAGTATCAACACCATATTTTTTTCTGCAAAAAATGGTTACGTACCAACAAAATAGAATGTATTAAAATTGATAGAATTTCTTTCACCACCAATAGTCAAATCTGTTTGTCAGAATAGTTTTCCAATTTTCCTTTTCAGAATTTCAATTCTATAGAGGGTAATTTCATTGTTGTTTCACCAAAATGAAATCAACATTACTTCATTGATTGATTTTCCATTGTTAAAGCGTTTTAAACCAATCACAACGTTTTGGTGTACCTTTTCGAAATTATTACCCAGAATGTATAGGTTCTGAAACGGCGAATTGATCAATGGCATCGATCATTCAACTTTTGAATATTTATTCTTCCTACCTCTTTGTTCAATGGTCTTTGATATTTGGATGACTACTAAGGTGATAGCTATTCATGCTGCTTGGAGCCTCTAGCTCATAGAAAATAATGATTTCCATCAATATGTATTTAAAAATGAAAAAAACAATATTCCCAAACAAGACCATAAATCCTGGAATTTCACTGTAGAATATTTTAACAGCTTACTAATGAAGAATATTTTGTTTGCCTGTTGATAGTTCTCCTACCTGAAGACACAAAAGGCATGGTAACCAAGATTACGGCAGGGTCATATTTCTTCTCAGCGTTGACAGGTAAGTTACTGTAACTTCACAATTTAAGATAGAAAGATCAATTAAGGGGAATTACTAAAAATATTGGACAGTTCAACAGACCATGCAATTCACAAACAAACGACTCCTCAAAATTCTTAGACTCATGTGTTGTTCGGTCTTTCGGTGAATTTTGATCAATATTGAAATTCTTGGATGAGTTATTCTATAATTGACATTAAAAGAAGAAAAGGCAGTTACAGTAAGCAGTAAACATAATTATAATAATCTTTGTAACGTTTAGACCAAGAGAGACATTTTGTAGACAATCATCTGTTATTAAAGGCTGTACGTTGACCTCTAGAAAAAAATGAGAATAACACGTTATAAATTTCATGCCTCTGAAGCGCTTTTCTGGATTTACCTTCATCAGGAACAGTCAAAGCCGAATATTTGAAAGCCAAGGATGTGTAAGAAGCGAAACATGAAGAGGTATATGACCAAATAGGACCTAAAAAATAGCTAAATCCATCTAAGGTCAACTTTGCCTGAAGAAGTTGAAACCTTATTTCTTTATCCTTAAAAAATTTATAAACGAAAGTCTTTTACTGTCAATCTGTTGTTGGGTTGCAGTCTCATGGACATACCTTGTAGTGAATCAAATTCTTCGCAGAATCTTTGCATCACACTTTCTGTTATTATAGTATTTTTTTCTTAAAAAAGACTGTATGTTGAACTCTAGAAGTCTTTTCTAGTTTCATTCTGTTGATGGGTTGTCGTCTCAATAACTTTTTCATGGGGCTCCAGAAGGGTATCCCACTTTATGTCACAAGGTAAGATTTACATATTGCCTCAGTTAACTTTTAAGCAAATAGAACATTTAAATAAAACAGTTAATAAATATTTTTAAAGGTCAGAGGTCTTTTGAGATGAGTCATCAAGTCGTCAGGTTGTCCGCCAAACCCCATAAGGTCACATATCAGCTTTGATCATGTTTGAGCCACATACATGATCCCAATTATGTACCACATTCAAATCATTATCTTTGCATCACACATTATATGTTAATAAAGGATTTGTTTTTTAGATCATGGTGAGATTATAAGTTGGGGTGACAACACTTATGGACAATTGTCAACAGATAAGGTCATGCAGCAGCCATATCTAGTACCAGCCACCTTTTTCAAGGGCAAGGTCACAGACATACAGGCTGGATGGACACATATGCTGGCATTAACAGGTACATTAATGTAGTCACAGCAAATAAAGTCCCATCAATATAAGAAGATGCTGAGTGTCTCTCAATTCTCATATTTACACTGCAGTTGCCTCGTCAAACTTTCTAATAAGCTTCTGTATCAAGGAATGATTTGATATTTACTTTATAATGCTGAGTTGTTCCCTGTAAGTAATTTCCAGTCAACAATGTTTCTTCTTAGACATATGAGCATCCAACAATCAAAATCACTAGTTTAATAATCTGCCATTTAACAGAATCCACTCATTTCAATCAAGACTCTACAATCAGTGAAAATTAAATAAATTTAACAGAAATAGCTACATGTGTATGTTATAGTATTTTTTCAGATTGACAATTCAATTCTGCAAATGGAATTCATTTTTCAATACACTTGATTTAAGTGCAAATTTTCCCCTTAAGTCATGTGACCTTGATATAGTTTTATTGTGATGTTAGGTTGCTGTCTAATTGATGCCTACCAACACCATTTTTGTCTTGCCTGTGACGAAAGTCTCAGAATGCTAAAACAGGTATTACAATTAGGCTGCAGCATAAACTATTTGTATTACTGTGGATTATTTATTATTCATTGGATACCAATTTTCGTGGGTTTCATGGGTTCAGGTGAACCACGAATTCAAATGTTCAACGAATAACATATTTTCAATAGGCTTTGTATGCAGAGATTGGTAAAACCACGAAATCAAATATCAACAAAAATGCAAGTTTTCAGCAATCCACGAAAATTAATACCCACAAAAATAAATGAATCCACAGTAAGCATTATATTTCAGAGGTTAGTAGACCTGGAGACTTCATACCTGATATACAGATGCCTTATGTTATGAAGTTTCTGTTTGTCATATGTCCGTTGTCCTTAACCTCATTTTCATGGTTCAGCGACTGCATGAGAAAAAGTTTTGTTTGTTATGTGAATTTCTCATACTTATAAGTAATGGAATAACTATATTTGGTATATGGGTTCCTTGCAAGGTCTGCATATTTGTCAGAAAAGTTCACCTGACCTTCATCTCATTTCATGGATCAGTGATCAAGGTTAAAGTTACATGGATAGGTTTTTCTGGTGTATGAACTGATTGTAAGGTGTACATGTCTGGCTGGCATGGTTTATCTGACCATGAGCTCATTTTTATGGTTCATTGGTCAATGTTAAGTTTTCCTATAGTCTGTTTCTTGCATACTATAAACAATAGGTCAACTATAGTTGGTTTATGGGATGATTGTGTAAGGTGTACAGGTCTGTCTGGCTTGGTTTATCTGACATTGACTCAATTTCATGGATCATTGATAATGTTAAGTTTATGTGATACTTGTAGTAAAACTTTATCTTTAGGACTATCAACATAAATTAAATCATGAATAGTACAACAGGCAAGACATGTCAGTGTGTGCACTCTTTTTGATTCATATTTGACTTGATTAATGTTTTATTATATCCCATACAATGAAACTGCTAAGGGTTTAGGAGTAATACCACCATTGATTTTCCCCTATTAGTCTTTGTTAAATTGGCACTTTTCAAAAAATTGTGCAGAATTTATCTTTGTTTCAGATAAAGAAATACTTGGCCATGACTAAAGTTTTATCCTGTCCTGTTCTACAGTGAAAATTTCACATAACATAGTCATTTCATTGCATATAAGGTAATAACCATCACCAGAAGTAAACCAATCAAATTTTCACCTCTTTTTTTCCTGTTAACAAGCTTTAGTAACCATGTCACCTGAAGTTTCCAAAATATTTTATAGAAACAGCCAATAAAAAAAGAATGGTGCTTTTTAACACCCAAGATATATGTTTATGACTCAGAATTTTTTTCTGCAATGAAATGCAGGGTTAATTTCCTACAACTGTACCAACTTGTCAATCCATCAGTCATCACTTCATTCAAATCTGGATCAATGTTCCAACTGATCAAAACTTCAGATATTCGTAGAAATCTCAAATGGGGGACCATTTTTGGGAGGGGGACTTGGATGGGGGTGTGAAGTATGTTAGCTTTAGATTCTTTCATTGTGTTTCATTGTCCCTTTATTACAGATCAAAAGAAGGTTTACAGTTGGGGAAGGGGAAACTATGGACAGCTAGGTAGAGAAGTTGACCTTCAGCTTGACCCGTCACCACAAGTAATTGGTTGCCACGACAACATAATATGTGTACGATGTGGATCAGAACACAATCTTGCATTAACAGGTTTGTATCAAGTGTTTACAATGTGTTTTGTTCATACATTTATTTTTGGATGCACAAAGTATTTCTCTAAAATAATTTTCATTGACTTACTGTAAATTCAGAAATTATTGCGTGCATTTATTATTGCGCATTTTTTCTTTGTCATTTTAGACTAAAATGCGATTTTAATTTTTGCGATATTGAGAAATTTCCTGTTTAATTCATATAAAAAATTTCAAAATGCGAGTTTAAATTTTTGCGATTATAACCCTGTAGCATTTTTCGCAATAATAAGAACATCGCAATAATTTCTGAATTTACAGTATTCATGACCCTAGTATTTTCAATTACTGTAACATTTTGCCATTTGATATCAAATAATACAGTCCTTGAGGTCATTGTTATTTTGCGAGAGCAATAGGATGTCAGAGAGCTGTATAATTTGTAAAAGATGGAAATGGTTGAACTAAACTTATCTTTGTTAATTCCTATTTTTTGTTTAACCTTATGACAATTAATACAATGTAACAATTAAACAAACTTTGCTCCATTAAGAAAAAGCATTGACAAACCACATAAATGGCTACTTTATAAAGTTTAAATAATAAGTAAAAAAATGGAAACAACACGTTCACAGCCAGATATTTGAAAGCCAAGGATGTAAAAGAACTGAAACAGTTGAAAAGCTATATGACCAAAAAGGTCCTTAAATATAACCAAAGTAAAGATTTATTGAAATGTTATAACTTTCATGATTTATCAAACATATTTTTTCATTTGAAATTCTGTTGAATAAATTAAGATGGATCATCACTATGTATTTCCTAAGAGAGAATTTTCTTATACTTTGTCAAATGGAGATTTACCATGCTTTTTTGAAAAATATAATCAAAAGTATGGGCCACTGTGCTATTTTTCAAGCAATGAGTCATCTTCATGAAAAAACACTTTTTATGAATAAAATAAATCTATGAGATAGAATTTTAAAATAAAGATAGGTTTTATAATATGCTTTAAAAAAAAAACGAAAATGGTGTTTTCAAACTTGTTTTCTTGCTACAAGTAAAAAATAAAAGATTTCACATCATTCTAGTATAAAAATGTAACTATAAGAGTTATCTCCCTTTGTATGAATAAGTTGAAAAATTGGATCGAACGAAAAAAATATTCAGTATTTGTTAAAACAGTATAAATTATACAATAAATCACTGATTGTTCTTTATTTAAAATAACAGTCTTACACATTAATTGCCAATCTGTATTTGAAAGAACTATACTGATTGTGTACTGCTTTTTTACAATCCAATATGGCAGTATACATTTAATCTACCTTAAATTTAATTTATTACTTACCATGCAGTAACGACCATCTAATTAAACCAATTATAGAAAATCTGATGGAAGGGGTATAATCTAGCTGTTGTCATTACTTATAGAATAACTAATCGATGAATTCAAATAGAGAAAAATATTCAACGAGTAACCGAACAACACATTAATTCACGAATGCGTGTAGCGCATGAGTTAATTATCAGTGTTGTTCGGTCACGAGTTGAATATTTTTTGATATTTGAATTCTTTGATTAGTTATCCTTTTTATTACATTGGAAAATGGCTTTTTTGTGAAATTAAAGTAGAAAATGTAAGGAACTATATCGTTTTCTACGCATTCACAATTCGTTTTGATCTGACGTTATCGACGTCTTGACAACGCCTATTGTTGTATGACGTCAGAGCAGTGAAATAACCACGTTTATTTCACATGTGAAATTATCTGTTTTTATTTCACTGGGAAATCAATGTAATATTCATTGCAACCAATGTAATAAATATATTTCTCTAATTCTTAGTGGGTCTGAGTGGTCTAAGTAGTTTGACTACTGTATCACTAGCATGTCAACACTGAGGTTGTGTAGGGGTCACGGTGGCTGAGTGGTCTAAGTAGTTTGACTACTGTATCACTAGCATGGCAACACTGAGGTTGTGTAGGGGTCACGGTGGCTGAGTGGTCTAAGTAGTTTGACTACTGTATCACTAGCATGTCAACACTGAGGTTGTGTAGGGGTCACGGTGGCTGAGTGGTCTTAAGTAGTTTGACTACTGTATCACTAGCATGTCAACACTGAGGTTGTGTAGGGGTCACGGTGGCTGAGTGGTCTTAAGTAGTTTGACTACTGTATCACTAGCATGTCAACACTGAGGTTGTGTAGAGGTCTCGGTGGCTGAGTGGTCTAACAATTTGACTACTGTATCACTAGCATGTCAACACTGAGGTTGTGTAGGGGTCACGGTGGCTGAGTGGTCTAAGTAGTTTGACTACTGTATCACTAGCATGTCAACACTGAGGTTGTGTAGGTGTCACGGTGGCTGAGTGGTCTAAGTAGTTTGACTACTGTATCACTAGCATGTCAACACTGAGGTTGTGTAGGGGTCACGGTGGCTGAGTGGTCTAAGTAGTTTGACTACTGTATCACTAGCATGTCAACACTGAGGTTGTGTAGGGGTCACGGTGGCTGAGTGGTCTAAGTAGTTTGACTACTGTATCACTAGCATGTCAACACTGAGGTTGTGTAGGGGTCACGGTGGCTGAGTGGTCTAAGTAGTTTGACTACTGTATCACTAGCATGTCAACACTGAGGTTGTGAGTTGGATCTCCACACAAGGCAGGTGCGCTGGACTCTAATCTTAATTGACTAGGGTTGTCAGTTTTCCAGCTAAAGGTTGTGGTTCTCGGGCTTCCTCCACCAATAAAAAAACTGATTGCCATGAAATGGCCAATAGTGCTCAAAGTGGCTTTAAACACCAATCAATCTAATACATTCCCAGTTCAGTTGACTTTTTCCTTCAACAGTGGATTATAATTGGTCTCCTACCGACGAAGTCTGTCAGTCCGGCAAACCAGTTTTCCAGACTTTTTTTCTTTGTGCTTGAAGATATTGATTTGATATTTGGTTTATTGATTTATCGTGACAGGTTACAGGTCAAGTTCAATTTTCATGATTTTAGCTTTTCTCTTTGTTCAGTTAAAGCCCATTTCCCTAGAATTAAATTTTTGATGAAATACTTATTAATTTGTATATTTCTGTTCAATAACTCATTTTTTTAAACATTTTTTAAAAGACAAAATGACATTTTTTTCCTTTTCTCTGGTAAATTGTTTGAAGAATTTAGAGGTAGGTTTGTTTGTCATTCTTGAAGATATTGATTTGATAATTAGTATATAGTTTTATCATGACAAGTTACAGATCAAGTTGGAATTGTGTTCCAGTCTGATAATTTTGTGCAGAGTTATGGTCTTTGGACATAAAAAATTCACTTAAATAATCAGTTTTCAACAGTTTTTTTCGTCATGCTTGAAGATTTTGACTGGATATTTTTATGTAGTTTACACCATGACAAGTTATAGATCAAGTTAGAAATTCGTGCCATTACAATGAATTTGTAAACGGTAGGGGACTATGTATTGCCATGCAATACTCACAGAATGCTTGTTTTTTTATAATCAATATGGAGTCCACTTAATCTCAGAATTAAATTATGATATAAAATTTTCTTGCCTTCTTCTGATTTGGCTATTGCATGTATGCAATGCATAGACCATGTATGATGGTGTCAGACAGAAAGAACACAATCTATTGGTCAATCATTGGGGAAAAAATAAGTTTGCTTTATACTTGTATTTGAAAAAATCATAAGAGAAATAGATATTCCCTCAATGTTTACCGATAGCTTGTGATACAATTTTTCTCCTCTCAAGACAGTTAAATTAATAACGTTTGGCATGCTCTGTTTTTTAATTTTGAAAATTTAATTGATTCAAAAGGATATTGGATTATGCTAGATGTAGCAGTGGAATATCTCTCACTCTCTCTCTCGATCTCGTTCGATCAATCGAGCAACATAGAAGAGCTCTTTACAAATGATGTTGCCTTGATTTAATGTTGAAGGCATAGTGTTATATTTAAATACAATATTTCACCAAAGAATTTAATAAGTTAGTATATATAATTCCATGTTTGCAAATTGCCTGGATCTTTAGGCTATATCATACATGAACTTCTGTTTTCATTGATGTCATGATGATAGATAAAACCTGTGTAATTTGCATTAATTAAATTTTCCCCCCAAATTTCACCTGAACGTGATGTGACTTTTGTGTTGCGTCACAGCAAATCTAGAATTTAACAGACTTGCATCATTCCCATGTATTCAGCTATCGCCTAGATTTCCATTATGTAAATTAGTTTTGGGTTTGTAACCGATCTATAAACATGATAAATATGCGCACATAAACGAGTGCAAAATAACATTCCTTATCATTTGATATAAATACATCTCTTCGATGAATACTGATATAAATATTTTTGTTTACAACATAAATTAATAATATGAAAATGTTTTGTAGTTAGAGATATATATATAAGTAAAAAATCATTGATAATATCAATGCACACGTACCGCAAAATTGTGTTAAAGCATGCGGAAGAATATCTCAAAGAACGTTTTGCGACAATACTGGCAAGGACCGGTAACTCTGTAATTGTTTTTGCGGGAAAATATGAATGCCTACTCGTATCCAATCTTAGAAAAATCGAATTTTTACAGAAAAGTGTCCACCATGCACTTGCATTGCACTATTATTAGAATAGTAGAATAGAATGATATACAAATGGATGCAAATCATATATATATGTTACTGTTATTTTAATATAATATATAACAACAAATCAGTGTAACTAATCATTGTAACAAATCAGTGTATACTGATTTGTATCACTACAATATAATAGTTATTACGGTGAAGTTGAATTTCCTGTCATTTATTCATCATCCACCCACGAACTTGTTTCAGAAAAAAATATATCTCCGTACATCAACCTCAGTTTCAGGTAAAGAGATATGTTGTTATACGACCGCTAGGTTCCATATCACAAAGGGAAAGCTGGGTTTGATTTTGGGGGTAATTGCCCTAAATGTTAAGGAATTTGGGGCCAAAAAGGGGCAAAAAAACAAGCATTTTTCTAGTTTCCAGACAATAACTTGTGTTCAAGTGTACGGATCTCTCTGAAATTGTACTGCAAGGCACCATACATTGTAACACAAAGGGAAGGCTGGGATTGAGTTTGGGGGTGATGAATCATAAGGGGGTTCAAAAAATTTGAGGGGGGATTTTTTTTTTCCTTTTTTTTCTTTAAAATTTTCCATTTTAAATTGGTTATTTCTGATTTATATATAAAAGCAAATAATAATGATATGGTTTGAATAGGTAAATTAAAATAATTTTAAGTTCTTAGACCACATTCATTCTGTGTCAGAAACCTATGCTGTGTCAAATATTTAATCACAATCCAAATTCAGTGCTGTATCAAGCTTGAATGTTGTGTCCATACTTGCCCCAACAGTTCAGGGTTCGACCTCTGCGGTCGTATCAAGCTGCGCCCAGCGGAGCATTTTATTTTTTTCTGAGACAAGTGCTTTTGACCATCCTCAAGAACTTGTGGTCATCCGATGTTCAGTACTTCAGTACTTTGATTAGAATTTTACCAGACTTGCACAACAACTCCTTTTTAGAATTTAACCAGACTTGCACAATGCCTTGTTAGAATTTAACCAGACCGTCACAACAACAACTTGTTATAATTTTATCAGGCTTCCACAACAACTCCTTGTTAGAATTTAACCAGACTTGCACAACTCCTTGTTAGAATTTAACAGACTTGCACAACTCCTTGTTAGAATTTAACAGACTTGCGCAACAACTCCTTGTTAGAATTTTACCAGACTTGCACAACAACTCCCTGTTAGAATTTATCCAGACTTGCACAACTCCTTGTTAGAATTTTTAACCAGACTTGCACAACTGCTTGTTAGAATTTTTACTAGACTTTCACAGATTTTGCTTCAAACATAAAGTTGTGTGAACCTGCCATTCTAGTTTTACATCAGTGAATTTTCTGTGTTTTCAATACCAAAATAGTGACTTCTACTTTTGTTTTATTGAGAAAGCAGGACGTCACATGTTTTGCTCGGTGCTCTTCAGCGTCATACTTATTTTGGCTATTAAGGTTAAAGTGTCACTGATGAGCCTTTTGTGGACCAGACGTCTGGTATGCCAAATTTTTTGCCTGGTATCAATGATGAGTTTATTTGAAGACACGTGTTATTTATATGTGTATTCAATGTATAATTTCAGATATAGGAAGATTACTGACATGGGGATGGAATGAACATGGATTATGTGGGAATGGAAATGAAGACAATGTGATGACTCCTTCTCTGGTGGACAAACTTGATGGTCACATGATTAAAACTGTGGGATGTGGTGCTGGACATTCTTTCGTATTAATTGATCCAACATGATGTAAAATAAAGTTTCATGTTGACCTCTAGATGACTTTTTAGTTATTTATGTAGTTGGGTTGCTGTGTTATTCATATCTTGATTATTTGTATGCCCCCGCCGTGGCGGATGGGGCATTAGGTTCTACCATTGTCCTTCTGTACATCCGTTCATCAGTCAGAACATCCCAAAATTGGTTTCCGTTCTCTAACTTTAGTTTGCCTCAACCAAATGTTATGAAACTTATACACAATGCTTATTACCACAAAACACAGATCAAGTTTGAATTTTGGTGGCGTTACTTTTACTGTTCTAGAGTTATGCCCCTTTACCAATGGAAAAATTGCTGAATTTTTCGTTTTTTGTCGAGCCTGCGACTTTTGTTGCAGAAAGCTCGACATAGGGATAGTGATCCGGCGGCTACGGCGGCGGCGGCGTTAGCTAACTTCTTAAAAGCTTTATATTTTAGAAGGTGGAAGGTCTGGATGCTTCATACTTTGTATATGGATGCCTCATGTTACGAAGTTTCCGTCAGTCACATGTCCAATGTCCTTGACCTCATTTTCATGGTTCAGTGACTACTTGAAAAAAAGTTAAGATTTTTTGTAATGTTAAATTCTCTCTTATTATAAGTAATAGGATAACTATATTGGTATGTGCGTACCTTGCAAGGTCCTCATGCCCGTCAGACAGTTTTCACTTGACCTCGACCTCATTTCATTAGTCAGTGAACAAGGTTAAGTTTTGGTGGTCAAGTCCATATCTCAGATACTATAAGCAATAGGTCTAGTATATTCGGTGTATGGAAGGACTGTAAGGTGTACATGTCCAACTGGCAGGTGTCATCTGACCTTGACCTCATTTTCATGGTTCAGTGGTTATAGTTAAGTTTTTGTGTTTTGGTCTGTTTTTATACGACCGCAAAAAAATTTTTGTGGTCGTATATTGGTATGACGTTGGCATCGTCGTCGTCGTCCGAAGACACATTAGTTTTCACACTCTAACTTTAGTTTAAGTGAATGGATCTCAATGAAATTTTACCATAAGGTTCAATACCACAAAAGGAAGGTGGGGATTGATTTTGGGGGTTATGGTACTAACAGTTAAGGAATTAGGGGCCAAAAATAAGCATTTTTGTAACTTCCAGACATAACTTGTGTGTAAGTATATGGATCTCTCTGACATTGTACCACAAGGTTCCATATCACAAAGGGAATGCTGGGATTGATTTTGGGGGTAATTGCCTCCAAATTTTAGGAATTAGGGGCCAAAAAGGGGCAAAAAACAAGCATTTTTCTAGTTTCATGACAATAACTTGTGTGTAAGTGTATGGATCTCTCTGACATTGTATCACAAGGTTCCATATCACAAAGGGAATACTGGGATTGATTTTTGGGGGTAATTTCCTCCAAATTTTGGGAATTCGGGGCCAAAAAGGGGCAAAAAACAAGCATTTTTCTAGTTTCATGACAATAACTTGTTTGTAAGTGTATGGATCTTTATGAAATTGTACTACAAGGTTCCATATCACAAAGAGAAAGCTGGAATTGAGTTTGGGGGTAATTTCCCAAAAAGTTTAGGAATAAGGGGCCAAAAAGGGGCAAAAAATTAGCATTTTTCTAGTTTCCAGACAATAACGTTCAAGTGTATGGATCTCTCTGAAATTGTACTGCAAGATACCATACCACAAAGGGAAGGCTGGGATTAATTTTGGGGGTAATTCCCTCAAAATTTTAGTAATTAGGGGCTATAAAAGGGCAAAAAAACAAGCATTTTTCTAGTTTCAGGATAATAACTTGTGTTCAAGTGAATGGATCTCTCTAAAATTGTACTGCAAGGTACCATACCACAAAGGGAAAGCTGGGATTGAGTGTGGGGGTGATGAATCATAAGGGGCTTCAAAAAATTTGGGGGGGGGGATTTTTTTTTCCTTTTTTTTCTTTAAAATTTTCCATTTTAAATTGGTTATTTCTGATTTATATATAAAAGCAAATAATAATGATATGGTTTGAATAGCATACATGTGAACCTCCCGACAGGAGTACAATAATCCCGTTTTCAGGAGTCTCCTCCCGACCTCCCGTTGAAGAGGAAATAATCTTGTGTATGAAATTTTTCATGAATGAAAAATTTCTGCCCAACATATCATCTCAGGCATCTGGTGTAACTCACATTACCTGAAGTTATATTTTACCTGTAAATCAAATAACATGCATAATTATATGGCTTCACTTGTCAGCTTGGGTGTCAAACATACTGGTAATCAACGATTTTTTACCTCAGGCTAACTGCCGTTGTGTAACAAAAACTGTGTATTTATTGGGTTACTTCCCTTGATTTATCCTGTTTTAAGTTACTTTCCTTTTAATAATGAAAATTTTTAAAAGAATATAAATAAAATATAAATTGAACAAATAATCATAAAAGGATGGTAAATTGAAATTTATATAATAACTATGACCCTTGTTTTACAGTTAGAATGATTTTCTGAGTATGCAAACAAAAGCTATTTGCAGATAGTTAAACAAATGTTCTGGTTGCAATGATTGTTTTATAGAATATGAATTAAAAAATTTAAAGAACATACTGAAAAAAAAAATGTTAGATTGAACATGTAGAATATAAAGATGGAGAAACTTTATAAGTACAAGGGTACTATAAACATAATAAATTGGATGGAAAGTTGAAGAAAACACACTTTAAAAGACCATTTTTACAGCACACGGTTACATTTACGACAAAATTTATGTCGATTAAAAACCTCCTGATCTGAGTCCTAATCTCCTGACCAAAATTTCCCAATCTCCTGATCTGAGTTTCACAGTCCATCACATGTATGAATAGGTAAATAAAAAAATTATAAGTTCTTAGACCACTTTCATTCTGTGTCAGAAACCTATGCTCTGTCAAATATTTAATTACAATCCAAATTCAGTGCTGTATCAAGCTTGAATGTTGTGTCCATACTTGCCCCCACTGTTCAGGGTTTGACAGCTGCGGTCGTATCAAGCTGCGCCCCAGCAGAGCATTTTATTCTTATACTGTATGCAATAGGTCTACTATATTTGGTGTATGGAATGATTGTAAGGTGTACATGTCTAGCTGGCAGGTGTCATCTGACCTTGACCTCATTTTCATGGTTCAGTGGTCAAAGTTAAGTTTTTGAGTTTTGGTCTTTTTTTCTAATACTATATGCAATAGTTCAACTATATTTGGTGTATGGAAATATTTTATGATCTATTTTTCAGTCACGCAGGTTTTATTTGACCTTGACCTCATTTTCAAGGTTCATTGCTCAGTGTTAAGTTTTTTGTGTTTTGGTCTGTTTTTCATAAACTATAAGCAATAGGTCAACTATATTTGTTGTATGGAAGAATTGTTAGCTGTACATGCTTAATAAAGCTTTAAATTTAGGACTATCAACATAATATCAATGATTAGTAAAGAAGGTGAGACATTTCAGCGTGTGCACTCTTGTGTTCTCTTACTTAAGTTTGCCTCAACCAAATGTTATAAAACTTATACACAATGCTTATTACCACAAAACACAGATCAAGTACAAACTTGGGTAGTGTCACTTTTACCGTTCTTGAGTTATGTCCCTTTATAACATTATATGCAAACAGGAGCATCATCTGTGTCTCATGGACACATTCCCCATTTATTTTTTGTAGTTTTGAACACCAGTAGACGCTGAATTTTACTTTTTTTTTTGCTAGAAAAATTTAACTTTATGGAATTTTTAGTCCCCTACCGACGAAGTTGAAGGGGACTTTAGGTTTGCACTCTGTCCGTCTGTCTGTCCCTCCGTCTGTCCATCTGTCAGTCCGGAAAATCAGCTTTCCACACTTTTTTTCTTCTTTCTTGAAGATATTGATTTGATATTTGGTATATAGTTTTATCATGATAAGTTATAGATCAAGTTGGAATTTTGTTCTGGTCTGATGATTTAGTCCAGAGTTATGGACCATAACTCTGGACCAGATCTTATGTTCGAGTACTATGTTAAACCATATTTCTGTACAAAGGGAGATCACTCATTTTTTAAAAGACATTCTTTGTTAAATTATTTGAAGAATTTTTTGGCAGGTTTGTTTGTTATTTTGTATAAACTAATTTTCTGAATGCTATACATAAAAAAAAATTTATGAAGAGAAATCCTTTAATTAGATAATAATCTATTTTTTATTAATGTATATATTTCAATACATTACATTGTGTAGATAAAAGTTGTTGACATTTTATAGATAAGTTACAAATCTATATTAGTTTGTGACAAATGAAAGAAAAAATATTTGGAACTATTAATTATATTTGATTATAATTTGAAAATAGATATACACTGTATTACATGATCATATCTAATTTTAGAGAACTATTAATCATATCTGATGTTTTTTCATCATGCTTATAAGATATTGATTGATAATTGGTATATATATAGTTTTATCATGACAAGTTACAGATCTTCAAATTTTTGTTTCAGTCTAATAATTTTGTGCAGAGTTATGGTCCTTGGACTTGAAAAATTCACGCATATAATCAGTTTTCCACACTGTTTTTAGTCATGCTTGAAGATATTGACATGATATTTACTTTTGTTTACACCATGACAAGTTATAGAACAAGTTAGCATTTTGTTCCAGTATAATGATTTTTTATCTGGTAGGAGACTATGTATTGCCATGCAATACTCTCAGAATGCTTGTTTTATATTATATGGCAAGATTTCTGATCAATTTTTTTTTTATTTTTCAATTCATGAACTAGACTGTTCAGGTACTTGAAATTAGTTCATTTGAGGTCAAATTCAAGACTTCCAAATTGTCATCAAAATATAATCACACTGGACCAAAACCAAAGGAAAATTGTTTATGACTGCTTTGCCTTTTGATAACCTTTTCCATGGAGATTCATTATGGTGATAATTTGTCTTTCAAAGTGTGATTAAAATAAGTTTAATAAAATGATCTGCTAGGCACAGCTGGATACGACCACAGAGATCAAACCCTGAACAGTTGGGGCATGTATGGACACTACATTCAAGCTT